ATCCATCCATCCCTCTATCATCTATCAATTTATTTATAGAACATATTCAGAAATAGTCCTCCACTTATGACTGTGATGGAATCTGCCCATGACAGTCATAAGTCACGATAGTTATAAAAGCAGGTCATCATATGACCAGATCTGATTTTACAACTTTACTGCCATGTTTGTTAAGCAAATCATTGCAGTTCTTAAGTGAATCACATGGTCATTAAGCGAATGTGGCATCACCCATTGGCTTTGCTGGTCAGAAAATGGTTGGGAAGGTTACAAATGATAATCATGTGACCCGGGAACAATGAAACCATCATAAATACACGCCAGTTGCCAAGTGCCTGCATTCTGATTGTGTGACCATGGGGATGCTGCAACGGTCATTAAGTGTGAAAAACGGCCATAAGTCACTTTTTTCAGTGCTGTTGCAGCTTCAAACGCTCACTAAACGAACGGTTGTAAGTTGAGGACTATCTGCAAATGAACTGTGGTGACCCAGCATCTCTGATCCATCTCAGCTTTTCATCTTCAGCTCTTCACGGGGGTGGGGTGGGCGGTGGGGGGGTGACCTTTTACCTCCAAGCTGCTCCAGTCTTCATCATCCCACTGGTCTGCCGTGCTCTCCTCCCCCCCCACCTCCTCCTCCTCCACGTCCCACTGGCTGGAAGGGGAGGGAGCTGCTCCCTCAGAAGCAGGAGGGGGCCCGGTGCCTATAGATATATAAGTAGATAAATGCTTTAGATATAGACAGACAGACAACGGACAAATATAGAGAGATGATAGATATTTTAGATATAGAGATGATAGATAGATAGATAGATAGATAGATAGATAGATAGATAGATAGATAGATAGATATAGATAGATAGATAGATAGATAGATAGATAGATAGATAGATAGATAGATAGATAGATAGATAGATAGACAGATGATACATAGATGATAGACATGATAGATAGATCGATAGATGATAGATCAGATAGAGAGAGAGAGATGATAGACAGAGACAGATGGAGGGATAGAGATAGACGGATGGATAGATATAGATAGATAGATTTATAGATATGAGAGAGAGAGAGAGAGAGAGAGAGAGAGAGAGAGAGAGAGAGAGAGAGAGAGAGAGAGAGAGAGAGAGAGAGAGAGAGAGAGAGAGAGAGAGAGAGAGAGAGAGAGAGAGAGAGAGAGAGAGAGAGATGATAGACATGGATGGATGGATAGAGAGAGATGGACCGATGGATATAGAGAGATAGACAGATAGATGGATGGATGGAGGGATGAATGGATTGATAGATGATAGATAGATGAAACATAGATAGATGGATGGATGGATGGGATGGATAGATTATCATATGAGAAAGAAAGAGAGAGAGAGAGAGAGAGAGAGAGAGAGAGAGAGAGAGAGAGAGAGAGAGAGAGAGAGAGACATAGAGAGATGGATGGATACAGATAGATAGATAGATAGATAGATAGATAGATAGATAGATAGATAGATAAACATGATTGATAGATTGATAGATGATAGATGAGATATATATATAGAGAGAGATGACAGACAGAGACAGATGGAGGGATAGAGATAGAGATGGATGGATGGATGGATGGATGGATGGATGGATGGATAGATAGAATAGATAGACAGAAAGAAAGATAGATAGATAAAGTGAGAGAGATGATAGACAGACATGGATGGATAGAGAGAGAGGACTGATTGATAGAGAGACAGATAGATGGATGGATGGATTGATAAATGATAGATGGATGGATAGATAGATAGATAGATAGATAGATAGATAGACACATAGATGATAGTTGATAGATGATAAACATGATAGATATATGATAGATTAGATAGATAAATAAAGAGATAGATAGATAGATGATAGACAGACGGATGGATGGATGGATAGATAGATAGGTAGGTAGACAGATACTCAGATACGTAGAGAGAGAGATGGATGGATGGATGGATGGATAGAGAGAGAGAGATGTAGAGAGATAGGGAGATAGATAAATGTTTTAAATATACAGGTAGTCCTTGACTTATGACCACAACGGAGTCCAAAATTTCCATTGCTAAGTAAGATACTTGTTAAGGGAGTTTACCCCATTTTACAACCTTTCTTGCCATGATCATTAAGTGAATCCAACTCGCAAAAGGGGATCATGTGACCCCCGAACTCTGTAACTGTCATAAATGTGAGTCAGTCGTCAAGCATCCAAATGTGAATCACATGACCCTGGGGATGCTACAACGATCGTTAAGTATGAAAAGCGGTCATAAGTGACTTTTTTCAGTGATGTTGAGGCTTCGAACAGTCACTAAGTGAACTGTTGTAAATCGAAGAGTGCCTGTATTGCAAAATTGGCCCCGTTCACACAGCCCACCTAACCCAGACGAGGCCTCCTGACTTTCAACAGCATTCAAAGCCTGGCTAAATTGCTGCACTCAACAGGGTGGGTTAGCAGCCCCACTGACCTGATTTGGGGGGCTCCGACGGTGTCTTGACGGGGGCGTCCCTGGCCACCTGCTCTGCCCCCGGCGTTGTGCCAGCGTTTGTCCGGATCAGCTTTGACGTCAGGGACGAGACCCCCGTCACAGCCCAGCCGGCCCAACTGGTTGCTGAGCCCACCGCGGGACTGATGGAGGCAGCCTGGACATCTTTTTCTGAAGAGAGAGGGGGGAGGCAAAGTCCCGGGTTCAAGCTATACCGTTGCAATGCCAGGAAGTGCTTTTTAAGCAGTAGGTTGGATTAGATTACAGGGCTTCTCCAAACCTGGCCACTTCCAGATGTGCGGACTTCAACTCCCAGAATTCTGGGAGTTGAAGTCCAGAGGTCCTAAAGTGGCCAAGTTTGGAGAGCCCTGGACAAGAAGACCTCCAAGGTCCCTTCCAGCCAAAGTATTCTATGATTCCAGCAAATCAGATCCATGTGGCCCAAATAAGCGTTGCTGGCTGGAGAATTCTGGGAGTTGAAGTCCACACGTCTTAAAGTGGCCAGGTTTGGAAAGCCCTGGACAAGAAGACCTCCAAGGTCCCTTCCAGCCCTAGAATTCTATGATTCCAGCCAACCAGATCCATGAGGCCCAAATAAGTTGGGTGGGGCCTCGCATTCTAAGCAGGAGGCGTGGCCAGAGCTCAAAGCAGGAAAAGGGAGAATGGACGGGATTTGCAAAGTGGGCCAAGCCGGGCACATAATCCTTGGCTGCCAGTTGCCCACCCTGGTTTAGTCAAACCACAAGGCCCTGTGGTGGGGTTCAAATATGTGAACAACCCGTTCTGTGTGTGGATGCCGCTTCCGGAAGTGTGTTCTCGGCCTGGGCAACAAAAAATTAGCTACCAGTTCTGTCAAAGTGGTGTGAACCGGCTGAATCCCACCACTGACAAGGCCCAAAGTCCAAACCCAACAGCTTGGCCCCTATTGATTGTCAGGATGGTCTCACCAAGTTCTGAGAGCTGAGTCGGATCTTCTGAAACCGTCTCCAGTTTAGTCATGAAGCTGTGGATGGCTTTGAAGGCCTGAAAAAAAATTAAAATCACCCGACAAAAAAAGCAATGAAAGAGACACAAAGACGGGTTTTTTAAAAAAAGCCAACACAATCAGAAGCTTCCCCACAGCTCTACAAACTACAGGCAATCCTCGACTTACAGCAGTTTGTTTAGTGACCGTTCAAAGTTACAATGGCACTGAAAAAAGCGACTTATGACCATTTTTCATACTTAAGACCACTGCAGCATCTCCCTGATCACGTGATCAAAATTCAGACACTTGGCAACTGGTTCGTATTTATGACAGTCATAGTGTCCCGGAGTCACGTGATCCCCTTCTGCGACCTCCTGACGAGCAAAGTCAACGGGGGAAGCCAGCTTCATTTAACAGCCGTGCGACTAACTAAACTGCAGTGATTCACTTAACAACTGTGGCAAGAAAGGTTGTGAAATGGGACAAAATTCACTTAACATGTGTCTCATAGCAACAGAAATTTTGGAGTCAATTGTGACTGTAAGTTGAGGACTCCCTGTACAATCAATCAAATCCTGGCTTAATTGGATGTGTGATTCTAGACCCTCCAATGGGTTTGTGTTTTCGCCCAACCGTGGGGTCCCATGGAGAGGGTGACAAAGATCGTTAGCCCCATTTTAACCAGGGAAGGCTAGGTTCCTGCATGGAGTTGCTTAACCTTAGTTTACTGAATAAAAGCCAAGTGGCTGCCTTCATACCTCATGAAACATGGTTTACTAGCCAGCATGGCTGACTTCACAAAGGAGGCTGGTAAAGCCACATGCTGAGCCTGAATTAACCATGGACAATTATCGTTAATTTAGGCTTGTCATGTCGCTTCACAGCCCCTTTGTGAAGTCAGCCATGCCGGTTACTAAACCATGTTTCATTGTTTAGCGTGATGTGATTCAAGAAAGGGAATGCCCCAGACTCACACATTTTATGATAGCCTTAACCTTGGTTTTTGACGTGTTAAAATGCTGGCTGGTTTCCCACAACAGGCTGAGTTATTCAACTCTTCTGAGACTCGCTTAGAGTGTCATGTGAACTCAACCACTGACTTGTAAACCATCTTAAGCACATTCTGGCTCAGAACAAGATGAATAACCAGCTGGTGAAGAGTCAATTTCATCAATACAGCCAGTCCTCAACTTAAGACCTGTAGCAGCCATTTGAAGTTACAATGATGCTGAAAAATGTCACCAGTCCTCACACTTATGACTGCTTCAGTGTCCCCAAGGTGATCAAAATTCAAGCTCTTGGCAACCAGCAGTATTTATGGTAGTTGCAGCATCCCGGGATCACACGATCGCCATGTGCAACCTTCCCACAAGCAAAGTTAATGGGGGAAGCGAGATTCTCTTAATGACCACACCATTCACTGAACAACCACGATTCTTTTAATGACCAAGGGGAAAAAGGTAATAACATTGGGCACAGATGCAGCATCCCAGGGTCAGGTGATCACCATTTACAAGCTTCCCAGAGGCTTCCAAAAAGCAAAATCAATGGAAGACGCCGGATTCACTTAACGACTGTAGCAAAAAAGGTCATAAAATCAGGCTTCGGGCATTAACAACCCAAACCCCTCCTCTTTAAATTGTGGCTCCAATTTTTATTTTATTTTTCATTTCTTAAATTCATATTCCTCCCCTTCTCACTAATAAAGCGACTCTGGGAGTCCTTTGCCTAGCATCCTTCCCTCAGATCACTCAAAGGCACACCTGTAGGGCAGAGATTCACCTGGATGGCAGAGCACCTGCCCTACAGGTGTGCCCCTGTGCAATAGGAGGCAAGGACAGAGCAACTGGGCGGGGGAATCACTGGACCCGCTTCCAAAGACCCCCGTGGACTCAATTCTCCACCCACCCTTCAGAAACTTGCGAGGGGAGTTTGCCCCCTCCCCATTCCTCACCTGGTCCCGGACAGTTTTTTCAGGGTCCACCGTCAAGTTGCACAGCACTGGCAGGATTTTGAAGGCGCACTCTTTCATGGAGAAGAAATTGTGGGTGGCGGCGAAGCCCAGGACCCCGGCCGCCCGCGAGGGGGCAAAGGGGTCTTTGGTGGCCCGACTGAAGGCCGAGATCAGCACGTTCTGCCTTGTCTGTAAAGAGAACATCCCGCAAACAACTTGAGCTCACCTGCAATAAAAAAATGGCAGCAGAAAAGGACTGAAGATTCCGGCCCAGGGTGCATCTTAGTCCCCAAAGTGCAATCATCAAGGTATTTGATGCAGGCAGTCCTCAACAACAGTTCATTTAGTGACCGTTCAAAGTTGCAATGGCACGGAAAAAAGGGACATGACTGTTTTTCACACTTACGACCATTGCAGCATCATCACGTGATCAAAATTCAGGCACTTGCCAACTGACTCATATTTATGACGGTCGCAGTATCCCGGGGTGATGTGATCCCCTTTTGAGACTTTCTGACAAGCAAAGTCAATGGGGGAGCCAGATTCATTTAATAGCTGTGCTAGTAAGTTAACCACTGTAGTGATTCCCTTAACAACTGTGGTAAGCAAGAATGGTTGTAAAATGGGGCAAAACTCACTTAACCGTCTCACTTAGCAACAGAAATGGTGGGCTCAGCTGTGGTCATAACTCAAGGACTGCTGTATATCAGTGAGTCCATCATTCAAGGCTAACCATGGTGCAAAGAACTGTGGCCCACAAGATGCATTGCACCAAACAGGGGGTTGGACTAAAAGACCTCTAAGTTCCTTTCCAATTTTATCATTCTAATCTTAATCCATATTTAACCCATCAATCTTTCACATATTACAGGTAGGCCTCAAATTATGACCAGTCCTTCAGTGACCTTTCAAAATTACAACCACACTGAGAAAAGGGACTGAGGTCTGGTCCTCGCACTTATGACCAATAATAGAGCATCCCTGCAGTTTAGCACTCGTCACCCAGGCGCCTGACATCCCGCATGTATTTACAATGCTTGCGGGCTCCCAAATTCATGTGAGTCAATGGGGAAGCCGGCAGGGAATGTCACAAGTCACGGTCATGTGAGAGCTTGCTTAATGACCATGGTGATTCACTTAACGACCATGGTGGTTCACTTAACGACCAGGGCAAAGAAGGTTGCAAAATCAGGTGCAGGTGTCACATGACTTAAGCACTGCAGCCTTCAGCAACAAATTTTCCAGTCTCAATTGTGGTTGTAAGTTGAGGACTTCCTGTGATCTTGTATCCAGTTTCCCACATCCTTCTTCCCAGAGCCAACTCTCTTTAAAACAGGGATGTCCAACCATGGCCACTTTAAGACTTGTGGGATTCTGGGAGTCGAAATCCACAGGTCTTAAAGTGACCAAGGTGGGACATCTCTGCTCTAAAGCTTCCCAGCCTCCCACTGTCTGCTCCGAAAGCCCGCCTCTGCCCTCTGCTTCCTTGAACCCAGGCCCACTCACGCTGACACTGAGGTACGGCCCAATCTTGCCCAGGCACACGGTGGTATTGCAGCGAATAGGGCCCTGGTCGTCCCGGGCCTGGAGGCGAGCAAAGTGCTTCATGAGTTCCACGTTGAGGTTGGTCTCACTGAGTTTGGGAGCCAGGAGCAGCATGGACTGTGGAGGAGGAGAACACAGGACAGGAGCCCCTTAGCGAGAGGCCGCAGGGTGGGCACGCGGGGGCAGGAAGAATGGGCCCCAGGGCAGGGGTGCTTGGAGATGGGGATAGCTTGGAAGGAGGAGCCCGGTCTCTCCCTGGGCGGAGGGTGGACATTAGGGACGGTGACACTGGGATCACCTTGTGGTCTTTTTTTCAGCCAAAGAAGAAAGATTCAGAGGGGAGGTCCCAAAGATGCTTTTTCAGGAGAACTGTCTTGTTTTTCTTTGAAGACGTTTCGCTTCTCATCCAAGAAGCTTCTTCAGCTCTGACTGGATGGTGGGGAATGGGAGGATTTATACTCCTTGCAGGCAGCTGGTCATTCGCCTTCTTTTTAGAGAGTCAGTGAGGCCATTTGGAGGTTTACCTGTGCCCTCAGGGTCACCTGAGTAGTGCAAATGGGTGTGGAACACTGTCCTTTCAGAGTTCCAAGAAGACTCCATACCTATTTGCACCACTCAGGTGACCCTGAGGACACAGATATGGATGAGAAGAAAAACAAGAAAAAGCACCTTTGGGGCAACCATGACCTGGATGACTTGGATGAATCTCCATAGATATTCTGAGGGGAAGGTATAGATGACCTCACCAACTTCAGCTTAGGGCTCCTCCTACCTCCCACTTCCATCCCACCAATTATGTAAGATGCGGTCCTTGCCCAGAACAAGCCTGGGGGATTGTGACTCATAACAGATGAAAGGTTGTTTATCCCAGCAGGGAGGGAGGTAAGGGGCTCGGTGACCCCCCCCCCCAGAGCTAGAGAACTTGCCCTTGACATCTGTCAGTCTTTCCAGGTAGACCAGTCAGGAAACACAACCAGATGAGTTAATTCTGGTTTCTTGTAAGGTTACATTAACCAAATTTTGTAAGTCTGAAAGTACAAATCTCCCACCGTCTCTTTTACAGTCTGAGAAACTGGGGAGGGTCCCTCCTAACTCTCTTTCTCCACCCATTACACAGCTAAGGGCTAAGTTGTCTCTAATCTGTCAATTCCCCTGGCAGAGTCTTCTCATCCTGCCTTCCAAGGTCTTTCTCACATGCCTTTACATCATCTTGCCTCACCTTCACCGTCTGCTCCCGAATGGCTGGATTGGTGTCCAGGAAGCCGTGGACCACATGGGGGAAGATCTGGGTGTTGACCGTGGGCTCATTCAGATACTGAATGAAGTGTTCCATCTGGAGGGAAAGCGCCTGCGGTCAGTTGGTGCTTGAGATACAAAATGCATCTACAATTTCTCTCCCAGGTTCACACAACACACCGAACAGACCTATTTTCTAGATTTGTGCTAAAACACCATGGGCTGCATTCACACGATTTATTTTTTTTTACTTATTTGTACCCTGCCTTATTTATTTATTTATTTTTTAACGTCCCTGTAATCCCTTATTTCTGGGCGACTGAACAGAGCTGAGCATTTACTGACCGAATGCCCTTCCTGACACCAACACGGAGTTCACAACAGGGTATTTTTTCTTTGTGCCAGAGAGAGAAATATCTGCAGCTGCCTAGGGTTGACCTCACAGCCTCCTGATGTTGAGGCGAGAGCTTCGCTTCTAGGCTACCACGTCCCTCCTAGTCTGCCTTTAGTATTTTGACAAACAACTCAATGTGGCAAACATATCCAACACACTTTCCTCCTCCTCCTCCTATTTTCCCCACAACAACCTTGTGAGGTGGGCTGGACTGAGAGAAGGGGACTGGCCCAAAGTCTCCCAGATGATTTTCATGCCTGGTGCAGGACTAGAACTCACGGTCTCTTGGGGATTGGCCCAAAGTCTCCCACCCGGCTTTCATGGCGAAGACGGGACTTGAACTCACAATCTCCCGCTTTCTAGCCTTAACTATTAGACCAAACTGGCTCTCCACGCACTAAGCTCCCAACCTCTTCCCAAAGCACGCAAGCAGCTCCATGAATTTGTTTAGTAAATAAAAATGCAACCTTCTAACGAAAAAAACGAGTTTCACCGTCCATTTTTTCTGGCTTTCTAGTGGAAAATAACAGAAGACTCTCACAAATGCTTTTTTGTTCAATTAACCTCTTCTTGGGTTTACACAGTATACTGCACCAGCGTTTTTCAAATTTGGTCACTCTAGGGCAGTGGTGGCGAACCTATGGCACGCGTGCCAGAGGCGGCACTCAGAGCCCTCTCTGTGGGACACGCGCTGCCACTGCCAGCCGCTTGCGCGGGTCCATTAGGCCGCCTCCGCCCGGAGTGGCAGCCCCACCCAGCACAAAGGAGGCGAAGCGGCCAGCTAGCAAGCTCCGGTAGTGGTGGTAGAGCACGCCCACAGCCAGCAAGCCAAAGGCCACCCCGAGCAGGGAAAGCCGGATCCCCATCGGCGCCATGGCCCCCCAGTCCCAGCTAGGATTGCGTGCCTCCCCCTCACCTATGCTGGGCCTCCTGCCCACCGCCCCACCCGCCAGAGACCCCCTGGATCTCCCTCAACCCTGTCCGGTCTCCACAGGCATCCCCCCCATGAGCAACATTGAGGTGGCCATGCCCACCCCAGCCACGCCCACCCAGTGTGCCGTGACAACTGGAGCCATGCCCACCCAGTGGGCCACGCCCCCATGCCCCACCCAGGGCACCACAATGCTGATGCGGCCCTGGCACTTTGCAATAAATAAGTGGGTTTTGGGTTGTGGTTTGGGCACTCGGTCTCTAAAAGGTTCGCCATCACTGCTCTAGGGATTTCAACTACCAGAATTTTCCAATCAGCATGTGCCAAGTGGGGGGGCGGGGCGGGGGGAATGGACTAGATGACCTCTGAGTTCAGTTCCAATTTTATGAGTCTAACATTAATTCCCATTTAGGACACCATGCAGTATGTTGGCTGGAAAATTCTAATTTAAACTGAGTTTAAATAACTTTGATTGAGTTTAAATAACTTTAGCAGGCCATCATTAGTTGTTTGGGAGTCTGGTAGCTCCCTTTTCAACCAACGTTATTAAACAATTATTAAAAATTTAGTAACAACAAAAACTGTTATTAAAAAGAAAAGGTGACCACCAGGCTGGGTGAGTTACAGAATCCCTTTAAAGCCCATTGACTTCAATCTCTCAACCCATGCAGGACTCAGTCTGAGATTCTGTTTAAAGACGGAGCCAAGGACGCAACCACCGGCTTTGTCTAACAAATCCACAGGCCCAAGTGCAACTATTTGATTGGGCTGCCTGCCAACCTGTTGCAGCAAACGGATCCTCATGGCCCGATCCGGGGAAGAGAACATCTTCACAATCACAGGGATGATTTTTTGCTGGTATTCCTGGCTATTCAAAAATTTCCCCACCTGGAAAAAGGGGAAAAAAGCAGAGGAGGAAGGGAGAGAGAGAGGGAGAGAGGGAGAGGGAGGGAGGAACAGAAGAAGTCAAGAATGGGCAAATGTATTTCTTGATACAAAAATAAATAAATGCATCCCCTTCTTCTAATAAAGATGCACAACTGGATGGTGCTGCCACAATGAAAACAGCCCCAGAGATTTTATTAATAGCCCAAGGCTGACAAATTAATTGTCTGTTTTCATACAATACACTGAATTTGAGGAATGTTAACATTGCTTACCTGTTTTTTTTGCGGGGGGGGGGGGTGTTAGCATGTGGTGGGAATGAGGCCCAGTGTAATTACTGGCTGATCTCAGAAAATGGGTTAACTAGGATCAATTACAGGTAGTCCTCAACGTACAACAGTTTGTTTACTGACCAAAGTTAGAACGGCACTGAAAAAAGTGACATGACTATTTTTCACACTTAACTCCATTGCAACATCCCCATGGTCACGTGACCAAAATTCAAATGTTTGGCAACTGGCATGTATTTACGACGGTTGCAGTGTCTTGGGGTCACGTGATCTGCAACTGTGACTTTCCCAGCCAGCTTCAGACAAAGTCAATGGGGAAATCAACAGGGAAGGTGATGCCTCGCTTAACAACCACAATAATTCACTTAACAACCAGAGCAAAAATCAGGGCGGTCGTACTTAATGACCGCACTGCTTAACAACAAATCTTCAGATCCCAATTGTGGCTGTAACTTGAGGACCATCTGTAAACAAATCTGTTTACATTAATTCACAAACAGAATCCTAACCGAGATTTAGTATTTTGTACGAATGCATTGGCTGGGACTTTTGCTATCTCATTAAGTATCTTGAATATACACAGCAGGTCTATTTATTCGTTTATTTGTGTCAGAAGCATCACAATTAAAATAAAGTCATGCTATATGACATAAAATGTAAACTATAAAACTATAAAACTATACAAGCTATGTACAAGTTAAACAGATCTTGCAAGATCTGCTTCATTTGTACAAATCTGGTATTTTATAGTCAGACTCTCAATTTTTTTTATTGAAACTAGCAACATTAATTGCTTTGTGTAACGCTGCCATGAGGTCCTCCAGTATACATTGATTGGGGCACAAAGGGCAGGTATACATGTGTGGTGTTGTCTGCATGTCACCACAATTGCAAAGAGCAGAAGCAAGCGGATCCACAACAGGCAGGTCAGGAAATGAAGACAGCCTCATGGTAAGTCATAACCTCCATCCTTCCCCAACTTTGGGGAAATCACCTCTGGTTTTTTTCAAGCCCCGGTGATCCGTGCCTCTTTCCTCGTTCCGCAGAGTGGCTTACCTTAAAGAGCGGCGTGAGGATGATGGCTCCTGCATTCCCAAACTCAAAGGCCATCAGCAATTGAGGAAGGACCTTGTGGCAACAGAAATCCTCGGGGAAATTATCCAGGTTGTCGCTGAGCTCCTGGAAAAACTTCTGCCGCTCGGCCGGCTCCTTAATCTGCAGAAAGATGAGTTACCAAGAGTTACGGGTTCAAATCTGCCCCCCTCACCCTTTCCTGCTTGGAGACAGGAAGGGGGGAGGCATGGAATTCATGGGCTCCAACCAAGCTGGAGCCAGGGATTCCCACAGATCCCATGTGGGAAAGACCCCATTATCTGACCAGCCTCAACAAGGGTATCAGGATATTTGATACCTTTTATTAAAGTAACCAACTCTGGAGGCCACCAAGTTGAGGTTTCGTGCCTGTATATTCTACGGCGGTGTTTTCTGAACTAGGCCACTTTAATACTTGTGCGCGTCTGTGTACATACAGTAGCTGTCAAATTTGACTCAACTCCATAGTTGCCTGCACCTGCTTTCGCTCAGTTTGCCAAACAGTGACGGGAGAAGGGTGGGTGAATTTCTGGGGGGGGGGAGGGGAAGGCTAGGGAATGCACGAGAGCCTTCTGTTTCTGGAGAGACGTTATCCACCAAGGTCAAGTTATGAAGAACATTTGAGTGGCGCAGACAGTTTTTCCCAAAACAAAAGAACTGAACTCAGTTGGTAAACTATGAACTGTGGGTGGCCCAGAGGGGGAAAAAGGGGTTTTATCTATGTGGGTTTTCGCAGGAAAATCCCAGAACTGACTTTTCTTCTGCTGTGCCTAGATGGACCTTTCAATAAAGCTACGCTCTTGGTCATCCTAAAGAGCCGGGAGTTTCTTTTGTTGAGCGTGCCAAATGGGATGGCTGACAATAGCTAGCTAGGGAATTCTGGGAGTTGAGGTCCACACGTCTTAAAGTGACAGTGGTTGAAAATCACTGTTGTACAGGAATATTATGCCTTGTGGCAGTGCTTCCCAAATTTTTTTCTTAATTACCCAAAACCACCTATCAGAAAATCTTATCATACTTCAAGGACCAGTCCTATGTCCTTCCTTTAGCACCGTCAGAACTTCAAATGGTCACTGAATGAACAGTTATAACTCAAGGACAACCTGTATTATAAGAACAATATCATTATCATGGCATAGTGGTCAGAATGCAGGATTGCAGGCTAACTCTGCTGACTATCAGCAGTTTGATCCTGACCGACTTAATTCTGCCGATTGTCAGCCTTCCCTCCTTCCGAGGTTGGTAAAACGAGGACCCAGATTGTTGGGAAGGGCAAGAGGCTGACTCTGTAAATCGCTTAGAGAGGGCTGTAAAACACTGTGAAGCGGTATGTAAGTCTAAGGGATATGGCTATTATAACTTTTCAACAAATTCCATTGGTAACTTCAATGACTTTTTGTCTTCATAAGGAAACTGAGGAGATTTTTAAATATATTTTAGGATACGTGGCAATCTTTTTTTTTGTAAGAGTTTTATTAATTTTTTACAATAACATCCTTAGTGCCTGGTGTACAGCGTGTTGTCTTGGTTCATGAATTTTTTTTACAATCAATAATAATTAACAGTCAATAATAATTATTTTTTATATTTCCATAATTAGTATATCAACTGATAATATATTTCCTTATCCTCTCTTCTCCCAATAGTATTCTCCTTCTTCAGCATTAAAGAAATATAATTTTAGTATTTAATATTATCTATATATAAATGATTAAATAAAAACATTTTCTTCTATATTTATACCAACAATAATAGCATCCATATATAGCATTTTTTCTTATCAATATATGTTATGTTCATAAAAATTACCTTGTTAATTCACCATATCTTATTTTCATAAATCTTGTTTAAACTCAATTTCTCCATAATATTCAAATAATTCTTATCAATCATAATTTTCTCAATAATTAACATCTAAATATCCAAGTTTTCCACTTAAATATATCATGACAATATTTTCATATTTCATATATTATAGAAATACTACTTATCTATCATAACACCTACCTATAACATCTTTTCTCATCAATTTATATCTCACCTATTTGTAAAAATTAATTAAATCACTATATTTCCCTACAATCATTCCTTAATCCTAAATCTTTTCAAACTTAATTTGTCTTTAAAGTTCAAACTTTTTCTTCACTTTCATCATCCCAATATTTTTACATTTTGTGTCTTATCAAAAAATACCATATTACTTATATCTTATTCCACTTGTTCTAAAGCCCCTTTATAGCCAAAGTTATTTGTTTATTTAGCCATATTCAAACAAGTGTTTGCTCGTATAATATACCATCTGGTAGGGTGAGTCAAGTCTCTTAAACCCATCTCTAATCTTCTTCCTTTGCCAAATTGTTTTCCAAATTAATGTTTTCGACTTGTCAAACAGTTCTTGTATTTTTGTAGTTGCTGTTAGGCCTAGAGGATACGTAATACGTAAGATGTATGCTTTTTGACTCCCAAACAGTGATTCTCCTAGCAGTGTCCATTTTGTTAAGTCTTCTTTCTTCTCAGGTTTAATGCATAAGGTATCTTTTCCATATTTATTGTTGCATCCAAATCTTGTGAAGTTTTTCTTGTTTGTATTAAGTTATAGTTCCCTTCACTTGTGACTTCGCCAATTAAGTCAATTTTTTCTGGTTCACATTCTGTTATCTGATTTGTTTGTTCATTCTTTACCATCATTCTTTGAATGTTTTTTGATTGTAGATTTAAATTAGAAGTGTATTCTTTTATGTTATCAAAATTACACTTAACCTCTTCATGGTTTAGAGCTATTGTGATTTGTATCTGTCATAGCATTGCATAAATTTCTTCTTGGAAAGTATTTGTCTTGTCTTGAAATGTTGCTTCTAGAGGTCTTTGATCTTTCCGGTTGAATCCTTCAAGAGTAGATATTAAGTGTGGCTTTTTATCATTTTTTAATGAATATGTCATGTCTATGTTGTCTCTCCCTTTCGAGTAATCCATCGTAAGTGCCATAGTCTCTGTAATTAGCCTTGTCAAGCTGGCCAAAACTCAAAATCCAAACAATCCAATTTTATATAGTTCTTGTCTTTATATATAATTTTTATAATCCACTGTAATTTTCAATTGTCAAGGTTTCAGTAAAATCAATGTTTTATGACAATTCTTTCTTTCAGGTCAATTGCCAATTGTCAACCAGTCAGAATTGCAATTCAGTATGTTTAGCCACCTTAAATCCTTCCTGTAACTTTCCCTCTCAAACCTAGTCATAGATCAAAGTTTTTAAACAATTCATAAGTTTAGACCACAATCAAAATATTTCTTTTCCTTCAAACACTTTCCAATCTTATGGCTGGCCCAGTATACAATCTCTTCTTTGTCTCCTGGCAACTATCTTCTTAAAGGTTATTAGGGTTCATGGGAGCAGATTTTTCTTTGTTTCTGGGCGTTGTCTTTAATGTGCTAAATTCTAGTTGTCCACTAGATGTCAGCAAATATTTGTTTTCTAGCTCTTTCAGGGAAGAAGTTCTTATTTTTCTTTTTTTATATAATTTCATCAAAATCCTTTAGAATATAATCTTAGCAGTTTGTTTTAGTTTCTAAGTTTGATCAGATTGTAGTATTTTAAATTTAATTTCAATATGTTTCTTTCCTCCTTAAAGGTTAATTCGCCGCTTCCGTCTATGGGGGAATGGGAATGTAGTCCCCTCCCCTCACTTTCAGAGGTTTTTTGCTTTGGGGATCTTTGCAAAATAAGGGGGAGAAGATCAAATACTTTAATTTCAATATGTTTCTTTCCTCCTTAAAGGTTAATTCGCCGCTTCCGTCTATGGGGGAATGGGAATGTAGTCCCCTCCCCTCACTTTCAGAGGTTTTTTGCTTTGGGGATCTTTGCAAAATAAGGGGGAGAAGATCAAATACTCTCACCAATTCCAAGCACGCTGTTCACCATTGTTCTTGTTAGTGCCCTTGGACTTCCCGGCTGCAGATAGCTTGGGCTAGACCAGACATGTCAAACACAAGGCCCGGGGGCCGGATGCGGCCCGCAAAGTGGTTTCATGTGGCCCACGAAGCCATCCTGGAAACAGTGAGGGAACGGCCCCCACTGCCTTGGCCCTGGCCCAGGCCAGCCAGGAGCCAATGTACAATTTTGTGGTGGCCATCTATGCTGAAACGCATTCAGTCTTAGCTCCATAAGCCCCCCCCCCGCATGGCCTGAGAGGAACAGTGAGGCTCCTCCAGTGGACCATGCCTTGGCACTTGCCCTGGTCCAACCCCCTTCTGCCAGAGACCCTCAGATCTATCTCACTCCTGCCCAGGCCACCACAAGGCACCCTTGACGCGAACGATGTAGAGCTGGCCACACCCACCCAGTAGGCCACAGCCACTCCATCCACACCCACCCAGTAGGCCGCACCCACCCTGGCCACACCCACCCGGCCCCCTGAGGGCAACCGCAATGCTGATGCGGCCCTCAATGAAATTGAGTTTGACACCCCTGGGCTAGACGCTGGCATGTGGCTAGCCTTTCTCTTGTCGAGTTCGGAGGGCTTTCCCCAGATCAAACAAAGTGATTGCTGTCGCTTTGTGATCAACAGGACGCCCCTCCTTCACGGTCACCTCTTCAGGGTGACTTTGGACCCATCTAGGGTCCCCCTGGCAGGGCGAAACTAGCCATGGGGAGCGGAGGTCCACTCTCGCGCGGCCATGCACTATGGACGCAAAACCGGAAGTCCTCAGGATACGTGGCAATCTTGAAGTCTATTTCAATGCTCCGATTGTGATGGGTTGTGGGTTCGAGTGTCATTACCAGAACTTACACAACTTTACCAATATGGGAAGCGCTGCCTTATGGCATCCTGCATTTATTTATTTATTTATCTATCTATCTGTCTGTCTGTCTATCATCTATCTATCTATCTATCTATCTATCTATCTATCTATCTATCTACCTACCTACCTACCTACCTACCTACCTACCTATCGTATGGCACATTCACGTCATATTTCAACAAAAGGGATCAGTACAAAATCAATTTTAAAAAATCCTGTATTTTATTGCGCTAATATGTGAATGGCAAAACACCTCCAGATATGAAAATTGGAATCTGAAATGTTCCGGGTTCTAAGCAAGTTCTTTGACCCACAAGGAGGACCCCTCCTACAATTTAGCCCCATGGAAAGTCATAGTCATAAAATCAAACAGACACAGGCCAAGAGCCTTTGGTGGATAAGCCACCATGCTCCCCACCTCTCACCTGGATCTCCTCCAGAAAAAGGTTGGTCTCCACAAACTTGTTGTCCATGAAACTGCCCGTCCGAGAGCAATTTTGCAGGAATTTGGCTGGGCTGGGTCGAACTTTGGGATTCGCACCAACCAACTCACAGTAATGGGGCACCAAGGACTTAGGGATCTGGAAGAGAAGGAAGCAGGCAGATAGGTCAGAAAAAAGGAGATGGTGATCTCCAACATAAAGCTGGTCCACCCAGAAGCAAGAGAGGCAAGACAAGTTGGACACTGTTCATGTCTCGAGCAGTTCCAATGTCAACAGTGCAACCTGCAGCCTTCTCACTTTGCAACCTTATGGAGTAGACAAAACACGCTTCATTTTAGGGCACTGATTTACAATCTTGACAACTTTAAGATGGGTGTACTTCAACTCCCAGAATTCCCCAGCCAGCAAGAATGGGAGTTGAAGTTCACCCATCTTAAAGTTGTCAAGGTTGAGAAAACTGGTCTAATCCATTTCTATCTTTTACTCCTAATATGCCAGGCCACTCTTCTACATCTGGGGGAAAAGAGGGGGAAAGAGAAAGAGAGAGAAAGGAATTGACACCACCCAGTGACTTACAATAGCCACCTCCATTTGGTCCACTCCATGTCCAACCTAGAAGACCATTTTGTCCATCTGTATCCAGCCCATTTCATTCATCAGATGAAACCTGTATTCTCGCAACCAATCAATGGTGGGAACTATCGGTTACAGTTTATGGGGTTGTGTGAACCCAGGAAATGGGGTTAATTCAGTCAACCACCGTTCAATGAACTTTTGAGAAAGGGTCACCAAAGAGACTCACTTTGTTGAGAGACCGCAGGGAGGACGATCGGGGCAAGGGACCGTTGAAGACCTCCCAGATGAGGCAGCCAAATCGCCACATGTCTGCTGACCTATCACCACACACAGGAAACAAGTTTGAGTCAAATCAGGATTATGAGGACTAGCTCCATGACCACTGGATAGTTTGTTTCCAAGACACATTTAACCCCCCAAAATACGACACAGATCAGTCTATGCCAGGGGTGTCAAACTGCTGGCCCACGGGTCGGACGCGTCATCCGGAAGCCATGCCCACCCCATTGCCGGCAATAGCAAAACCGTCCCAATACGTTGCACGTCACATGACGTCACGAGTTTGACATGTCTGGTCTATGCTGAGGGGGTTCCCACAAAAGAGAAAACCAGGTTAAAAACAGATTTGTGTCTTTGCAGAGAACCCTGTTTCAAATAGAGAGCTGCATGTGAACCAAGCCATCACTTCAACTTGGATGTAGTTGAGTTTACTGTATAACAGATGTGTACATTCAGCCTTTAGTTATGTTAACACAAAGCTTAGTCGTTGGCACTGTGTGAACCTGCCTTGTTTTCAAGGAAAGACACCAACTACGGAAAGAATTTACAGGATTACAGAATAACAGAGTTGGAATGGACCTTGGAGGTCTTCTAGTCCAACCCCCTGCTCAAGCAGGAGACCCTATACCTTTTCTGACAAATGGCTGTCCAATCTCTTCTTTAAAAGCCTCCAGCAATACAGCATCCACAACTTCTGAAGGCAAGCAGTTCCACTGATTAATTGTTCTGACTGTCAGGAACTTTCTCCTTAGTTCTAGGTTGCTTCTCTCCTTGATTAGTTTCCACCCGTTGCTTCTTGTCCTGCCTTCAGGCGCCTTGGAGAATAGTTGGACCCCCCCACCTTCTTTGTGGCAATCCCTCAGATATTGGAAGACTGCAATCATGTCACCCCTCGTCCTTCTTTTCACTAGACCAGACATACCCAATTCCTGCAACTGTTCTTCATATGTTTTAGCCTCCAGTCCCCTGATCACCCTTGTTGCTCTTCTCTGCACTTTTTCCCGAGTCTCAACGTCTGTAGCATAGGACACACGAGCGGCCGATTTTACCTTGAATCTTTGACCCACTGCTGCCCTCGTCAAAGCAAAGACGCCGAAACTAAATTTAAACACTTTTAATTGAACTTAGCTTTTATTGATTAGATCCCTGGAAACTGGTTAATAATTTCTTGCTTCGTAATGGCACAAACTGATAGACAGTCTCCAAGGGGCACCTCAAAGCTTTCAGGGGTGTCCTGTGCAGCCCTAGCAGGTAAGGACCCCGCTTGAATAGTAAGTCTCTAATCGGTGCAGATATTTCAAGCGTTCCTGAAAAAGTTTCCTCCCACAACCGATTCAGAAACTGGATTGATATTCCTCAAGCAAATGGATTTTCTAAATCGGGTGGTAATCTGAATCCCACTGGATCCAAATCTGACTTAAGCAACTACATTTTGCATGGACAGCTGTCTTCAAAAACTGGTTGTCCTCCCCCACCTCTGCTCCTTTGCAAACCCCCCAAAATTTATTTGGGGGCTCTGGTCAACCCCCCCCAAATGAGATCCTGCTCATATGTGCAGATGCAAGATCCACAAATCCTCCGATAAAACCTTGGCCACTTTAAAATGGGTGGACTTCAACTACCAGAATTCCTCAGCCAGCACAGTGACCAAGCTCGAGAAACTCTGTACAGGTACTCCTCGACTTACGACCACAATTGAGCCCAAAATGTCTATTGCTAGGCAAAACAATTTGAATTTTGACCCATTTTATGACCTTCCTTGCCACAGTTGTTAAGTGAATCACTGCAGTTGTTAAGTTAGTAACACGGCTGTTAAGTGAATCAGGCTTCCCCGTTGACTCTGTTTGTCAGGTCACAAAAAGGGGATCATCTGACCCGGGGAACGCTGCAACCATCATAAATGTGAGTCAGTTGCCAAGCAGCTGAATTTTGATCATGTGACCACGGGGATGCTGCAACGGTCGTAAGTGTGAAACATGGTCATAAATCATTTTTTCCAGCGCTGTTGTCACTTTGAACGGTCACTAAATGAATTGTTATAAGTCGAGAATTACCTGTATTTCAAGAAAGAGAAGTAAGCTTACCATTTCTCTCCAATGTTTTTGGTGCTATCGGATAATTCGGGAGGGTTGTATTTCTCCAGCTCGGGGACCCCCTTCCGTGGCACGGTGACGTCCCCCTGGGTCGAGCACATGTAATCCAACCCACCAAGTTTCCACTCGCCAGCACGGTCCACGTAAACCACCCCCATGCAGACGTTGTTATGGATGAGGTGACAGTCGTTGACCAGGAAACTGAGGGCTTTCTAGGAAGGAAAGGGGAGGGGGACAGACGTCCGTCAAGGAAGAGGTCACAGGTCACAGCCAAGGTCAAGGAGGTGGAATTCACACAGCCTGCTGGATTCCTGCAGGAAACGCAGGATATAAACCTAACAAATATATATATTTGGGAATATAGCTTCTTTGTGGTGGCACAGTGGTTACAATGCAGGATTGCAGGCTAACTCTGCTGAGTGTCAGCAGTTCGATCCTCTCCGGCTCAAGGTTGACTCAGCCTTCCCTCCTTCCAAGGCCGGTCAAATGAGGACCCAGATTGCTGGGAAGGGCAAAAGGCTGACTCTATAAACTGCTTAGAGAGGGCTGTAAAGCACCGTGAAGCAGTACATAAGTGTAAGGGATATTGCTAGTGCTTTTTCTCCTTCCTTCCTTCCTTCCTTCCTTCCTTCCTTCCTTCCATGGTACGCAATGGTTAGAATGCAGCATTGAAGGCTGACTCTGCTGACTGTCAGCAGTTTGATCCTGACCAGCTCAAGGCTGACTCAGTTTTCCCTCCTTCCGAGGTGGGTAAAATGAGGACCCAGATGGTTGGGAAGGGCAAATAGGCTGACTCTGTAAACCGCTTAGAGAGGGCTGTAGAGCACTGTGAAGCAGGATATAAGTCTAAGGGATATTGCTAGTGCTAGTGCTAACTTGGAACGGTCACTAAGCAAGCAGTCATAACTTGAAGACTACTTGTACTGAAAGTTAAAGTGTCTAACCCAGCACTCCCCACCCTGATACCGGTCTCCCCAGCACTCACTGCAATCTGATGAAGACCCCAGGAAATCTCCGGCTCGCTCAAGGCCTTCCCGTCCCCCCGCAACTCCAAGTAGGCCGGCAGCGGTGTCACGGGCTCAGTGACCACGTGTAAATTTTTCTCTGTCTAGAAAATCAAAGGAGAAAACATGATTCTCATCATGGCGGAAGGGGGGGAGGCAAGTGGGCAAGAGTGTCGTGAAATGAGACAGCTGGTTAGAAATGTCTTGGTTCCAATAGAAGAAAATATTTGTAGCTCGGGGTTCAACTTTGTTCTCGAGCTTGGATGGTTTTCTTGCAGACATTTCATGACCCAATTAGGTAACATTATCAGTGCTACAAGGGAGTGGGGTTTACAGAGGGGAGGGGAGATGGGAAGAAGAGGAGGAGGAGGAGGACGACGACTATGGGGTTCTTGGGGCTCCCTGAGCTGGGTTGCTTTCTTGCAGACGTTTCATGACCCAACCAAGTAACATTATCAGTGCTAGAAGCGAGTGGGGTTTACAGAGTGGAGGAGGAGGAGGAGTATGGTGTCCTTGGTCTTCTCTGAGCTGGGTGGTTTTCTAGAAGGGAGTGGGGTTTACAGAGTGGAGGGGGAGATGGGAGGAGGAGGAAGAGGAGGGAGGGAGGAAGAGGAGGGAGGGGAGGAGGACTGTGGGATCTTTGGTGCTCTCTGAGCTTGGTTTCTTGCAGATGTTTCACAGGGATAAATCACATTTACATACCTTTGAAAAGAGATAGTAAAAAGCTAAGAAGGAAACAAGACCAGAAGACTTTGACTCCAGCCAGATAAGCAGGGATTAACACCAGACAAACAATCAAGCAGAAAACAACTCCCTGATCCAGGAACCCAAGGAGAAAACCACACTCAACCAACAGTGACAGAGCAAGTGACTGTCTATAACCAGGGAACAAATTCCACATTCACACATACCGGTACTAATGATGTTGGGTCATGAAACGTTTGCAAGACAACAACCAAGCTCGGACAACACCAAGGGACCCACAGAAAGAGAAGCCCAGATAAGCAGGGATGAACACCAGAGAAACAATCAAGCAGAAAACAATATCCTAATCAAGGAACCACCAAGGAGAAAACTGTAACTCCATCAAAACAAAGCAAGCGATTCTATATAAACCGAGCAAACTCCACACTCAGTTCCACTGATGATGTTACCTAGTTAGACAATGAAATGTCTCAAGAAAGGAAAATACTTGTAGCTCAGGGTTGAAATGAGGAGTGCTTGATGCTCTCTGAGCTTAATAGTAGTAGTAGTAGTAGTAGTAGTAGTAGTAGTAGTAGTAGTAATAATAATAATAATAATAATAATAATAATAATAATAATAATAATAGGGTTGCTATTGCTCCCCAAGAGATTCTGCCCAGGTTTCAAAGACCTGCTGCTGAAATCATCTTAAGATACCTCTAAGCCATCAATGTAGGATAAGATATTGGGGTGCCGGAGCGTCTTGAGGAATTTAAAGGCTGTTTTGGCAAGCTGGGTCTGCTCTTCGGAACTCGGCTTCACCTCGTGTACGAAAAGGGAGACCGGTTCTCCCGTAGTCTGTGAGAATGAAAATGAGCAGGGGTGAGAGAGAATGGCGGTTGTTTGCTAGCCACAATCAGGCCATAATTAATGGTCAAGTAGACAGTTCCCCAGATCCAAGTGGCCCCCACTCGCCCATGTTTAAATGAGGCATGAAATCCTAGCTAGTCACTAGGGAGAACAAGACCTCCAGCTTCATTGCCTTTATCTCTGTCTTTTCTGTTTTACTGATTTGATTGTAATTTTATGACAATTGATAATCAACAGATTAGGTTGCCTCCTGGGCTTTTATCACCGGAGGTTTTAAAAAATAAACTGAATCAGGATGAAATGAAGTCTCCAGTCTTGAAGTGGGGGGGCTGGACTAGAAGACCTCTAAGGTCCCTTCAAGCCCTATAATTCTAAGTCCATACATCTTAAAGCATGCTGGCTGGAGAATTCTGGGAATCAAAATCCACCCACCTTCAAGTCGCCCAGGCTGAAAATCACTAAATAGTGATAACCCAGCAAGGACCTTCTTCCCGGAGCGCCAGAACCCTACTAAACTTGGTTATTGAAAAACAAACCAGGGTCTGAGTTTCTATAATATGGGAAACTCAGCCAGAACATGAGTGGGATTTACATGATTGAGGAAGACATGAAATCCGTGTTTCCCAGAGGACTTCCATTTCCTCCATAAGCTTAACGCTTGTTTCAAGCGGTTCTTCCGATATAAAACCAAGTCATCTGCAAATGCTTGTAGTTTGTATTTTTCATCTTTTATCTCCAGTTCTTTAATTTCTATCTCTTGCCTGATGTTAATATAAATAATAGTGGAGATAGCGGACATCCCTGTCTTATGCCTTTTTTAATGTCAAAGTTTTCTGTAAAATCTCCATTCACAATTATTTTGGCTGTTTGTTTATGATAAATTGTTTTGATTACGTTTATAAAGTTTTCTCCAAAATCCATTTCCTCTAGTTGCTGAAACATAAATTGCCAGTTTACATTGTCGAACGCTTTCTGTGCATCTAGAAATATTAAAGCCATCTGTTTCCCTGGATGAATTTCATAGTACTCTAAAACATCTAGGATCATTCTTAAGTTATTTTTTATCTGTCTATTAGGAAGAAAGCCATTTTGGTCTGTATGTATAAATTCGGTCAGAAATTTCTTTAGTCTTTCTGCTATTATTGAGGCAAAAATTTTATAATCTACATTTAATAACGATATTGATCTGTAATTTTTTATTTGCGTCAAATCAGAATCTTCTTTGGATATTAAAATAATATTAGCTTCAGTCCATGTATTTGGTATTTTAGCCTCCAAAAGTATTTCATTGCACAGTTCTTTCAATATTGGGCTTAGTATATCTTTTAATGATTTGTAGAGCTCTGCAGGTAATCCATCTGGATCCGGAGTCTTATCATTTTTTTGTCTTTTTATGGCCTCTGTAATCTCTATCATTGATATTTTCCATTTGGAGAAGTGGCAGGGTTGATAATAAACAGAGAAAAGACTAAAGTGCTAACTAAAAATCTAACAGAAAAACAAAAAACGAATGAGCAAAAAAACTAAACCTTCATATAGTTAAAAAAGTTAAATATTTGGGAATTTATTTAACAGCAAGATGTGCAACAATAAAAGAAGACAACTATGTAAGATTGTTAAAACAAATAAAATTGGATCTGGAAAAGTGGAAAAATTTACAACTTTCAATGCTGGGGAGAATAGCAACAGTGAAAATTAATATCTTACCAAAATACTCTTTTTATTTCAAACGATACCTGTAAGACTGGGAAAAACCTTTTTTGATGAAATAAATACAATTCTGAAATTTATCTGGCAAGGAAAAAAAGCTAGAATTAGACTGAAAATGTTACAAGAAGTGAAAGAAAGTGGAGGATTTGGACTGCCAGACTGGACATTATACTTTCAAACAACTATATTAACATGGCTAAAAAAGTGGATAATGCTTAGAGATAAAAGACTATTATACCTAAAGGGGCATGACCTACACCTTGGATGGCATGCCTTTCTGTGGTACGGGAAGAATAAAATACATAGATAATTTCAAAACCACTTTATAAGAATGCACTTCTTCTAGAATGGGAAAAAATAAAAGCGAAAATCTATATTAAAATACCTAGATGGCTTTCAACAATGGAAGTCATTTGCTTACCCAAATTTAATTAATTACGAGAAAGTTATGACCAATAAAGATATTTTGGACAATGAAGGGAAATTGAAAGACAGACAAGATTTACAAGAACAAGGTATTGATTTATCATTTATTGCAAATTCAAATGAGAAATGAAAAGATTCTAAAACAACAGGATTTTATAAAGAACAGAATTTGACCAGATACTGCTAAAAACAGATGAAACATTAAGAAACTCTATAAATATTTGTTAAGCTTAAAGATGGAAGAGGACATAATAGAAAACTGGCAAAGCTTACGGGAAAGAAATGCTAAATTAACGAAAGCAGTGCCTTATAAAGAAAACTTATACAAAATGTTTTACAGATGGCATTTAACACCAGTGAGATTAGTGAAAATGTTTAAAAATATGTCAAATAAGTGTTGGAAATGCAAACAAAAGCCAGGTACCTATTACCATATCTGGTGGACATGCCCTAAAGCTAAAAGATTTTGGTCAAAAATACACATATGGTTGGAGAAAGTGACTAAAAAACATATAGATTTTAAGTCAGAATTGTTTCTGTTAGGAATAATAGGAGGAAACTATGAGAAAGATTATATATACTTAATTTTACATGTATTAACTGCAATAAGAATTGTATTTGCCCAATACTGGAAAAATGAAAACTTATCAACGGAAGTACTAATTAAGAAAATTATAGATTGTGCAGAAATGGATAGATTGACATTAAAGATAAAAGAGAAAGAAGACTCAGTGTACTTTTAGAACATGTAGGACAATTTTTATCAATGGCTAGAAAAACAAGTTAGAGAAAAAGGAACGTGATATGTACTATGTAACATTGAATATATACTAGTAAGAAGAAGACTATTGAGCGATTAACTAACATATTGATTATAATATAGAAATTAATTATTATTCATTGTTTTTTAAATACATGAACCCAGACCACATGCTGTTTGCTAAATATTAAGAATGTTATTTTAAAAAACCCTAACCCTAACCCTATAAAAATTATATATACTTCAACTCCCAGAATTCCCCAGGCGGCCAGGGTTTCCCAATCTTAGCCACCTTAAGATCGGAGGATTTCAACTCCCAGAATTCCCCATCTAGCATAGTTGGGTGGGGAACTCTGGGAGTTGAAGTCCTCCACTCTTAAAGTGGCTAAGATTGAGAAAAGTGCAGCCAATGCTTGAATCCCACCGGATCACACAAGGATGCAGACCGACCCATGCAGGGGTCCCAACCGCCCCCCCTTCACCGCAGATCCCCCCGCCCCAAAGGAAGGGGGACCCCCACCTTGCGCCTCTCCCCCGAGGGTCACCCCTGGGCAGCCCCCCTCCCCTTCCTCCCCCGCCCCCTGCCCGGGCGACCCTCCCCCCGGGCCCCCCGCCCACCTTCCTCCGCCCGCGGTGCAGCTGCCAGGCGCCCCCCGGCTGCGGCAGCGGCGGCTCCGGCGGGGAGGCCGCTTCGAAGGGGAAGTCGCGGATCGGGTCCCGGGCGAAGAACCACATCCTGGGCCGGGAAGGGGCGCCCGGTTGCCGAGGCAGCCAGCCAGCCGGGCAGGCAGGCAGGAGCAGCCGGGCGACGTTGCAAGGAGGAAGCGCCGCTGGAGAGCCGGGCTCAGCCCCGGATCCTCTTTGCAACCCCGGAAGTGGTTGGAAGGAGGGCGCCGGCGAGCGTGTGCAGAGTGCCGGGGCTGGGGATGCCTCCGGGCGTTGCATCTCGCATGCACACGCGCGCGGAACGAACGCGCGTCTTCCTGGAGCGGTCTTGCCGAGGGCTCGGGGGCCGCCCGGGGTCTCTGCACGCGGTGCAAGAACCCCTTTTTAGGCTGGGGTCGGGGGGGGGCGGGGTTGTGTGAACGTGGTCCGGGGAATGCAGGTGGGGGGAGTTTAGGGGTTGCATTTCCACGCGCACACAGACACGGGATTTGCCCACGAGGGGTCGAGTGTGGGGGGCCAGAAGGATTTGCAACCGGAGGAGGAGATTGCACAAGGAAGGGGGGACGTGGCTGCACTCTCACATAAGTGCAAGGAGACCCCCGGGGTCGCCTGGGAAAATCCACTTTCTTCTCTTCTATCAGCTAGAAAGAAAACGGTCGAAAACAGAGAAAACACCAGATAAAATGGCCAAGAACAAGGTCCCGCAGCCGTTTGTCAAGCTCGGAAGATGGCTGGACTTCAACTCCCAGAATTCTCCAGCCTCTTAAAGGGGCCAAAGTTGAGAAATACTATTAGGATTCTGAGAAGGAAGGAAGGAAGGAAAGGAGAGGAAAGAAGGAAGGACGGAGGGAGGGAGGGAAGGAAGGAAGGAACGAAAATGGAGGGAGGGGAGGAAGGAAAATAGGAAGGAGGGAAGGAAAGAAAATAGGAAGTATGGAGGGAGGGAAGGAAAGAAAATAGGAGGGAGAGGGAGGGAAGGAAGGAAAAGAGAAAGCAGGAAGGAAGGAAAAGAGGAAGAGTGAAGGGAAGGAAGGAAGGAAAACAGAAAGGAAAGAGGGAGGGAGAAGGTGAAAATTAATTTCAACTCACCCCTTTAAAGGTCAGACTTTTGTTTTAGAGTATCATAGATATTAAAAGAAAGAAATTACATTTGGGGAGTTCTTCAAACCTTATTTTTATTAATAATCATTCAGCCAACCAAAATATAATAGTGGCGAATCCGAGATGCACTATTAGAAAACAAATCTTTTAAAGTAGCCTTTTCAAGAATAAGGTCAGGACCTGTTGCAGGTAATCCTCGACTTATGACTGTAAGGTAGCCCACCCATTATGGCTGCCAGTCAAGGCAGATCATCTCCTGTAATGACCACAATTTAGTCCAAAATTTCTGTTGCTAAGGGACGCCGCAACCATCATAAATACAAGTCAGTTACCAAGTGTCCAAATTCTGATCATGTGATTGTGGAGATGCTCCAACGGTAATAAGTCACTTTTTTCAGTGTTGTAACTTTGAACGGTCACTAGGCAAAACTATTAAGTTTGTATAGTGTACAAAAGTCACCGGTGCAAACATTCTTAACAAACATTATCTGACAATGATAGTTTGACCATTTAGCTTTTTAGCGCTGTTTTTTTTTCCTGCAAAGGGTCCGGGTGTTCATTCTGGGGCTTCTATTTAGGATTTCTGGCATTTAATTATTTCAGTTTGGAAACTTGAGCACTCGTGTTACACTTGAAAGATTTTCCCTGACTGCAGTTGTGGGGGAAAAGAAAAACACAGATTCAAAGAAGGGTGAAAATATTTCTGGCTGGGGCTCCCCAAATTATCAAAAGAGTCTGGAAATACAGTTCAAGGCCAGTTCAGTTACACTGTCACGGAATTTTATTTTATTTTTATTTATCAAACTTATATGGCTGCCCATCTTGAGAATGTGTCTAATCCATCAGATGAGACACCTCTGAATCAGGGAGGATGCTCAGAATGCCTTCAAAGAGGGCCAGAAACAATTAGTTAGTCCTCCACTTACGACTATAATTGACCCCAAAATTTGGTGAGTTTTGCCCCATTTTACAACCTTTCTGGCCACACTTGTTAAGGGAATCCCTGCAGTTGTTAAATTAGTAACACAGTTGTTAAGTGAATCTGGTTTCCCATATTGACTTTGTTTGTCAGAAGGTCGCAAAAGGGGGATCACGTGACCCCGGAACTCTGCAACCATCATAAATATGAGTCAGTTGCCAAGTGTCTGAATTCTGATCACGTGGTCATGGGGGATGCTGCAATGATCGTAAGTGTGAAAAATGTAAGACACTTTCTTGAGCGCTGTTGTAACTTCGGTCACTGAACAGATGATTGTAAGTAATAATAATAATAGTAAAGTTGGAAGGGACCTTGGAGGTCATCTAGTCCAACCCCCTGCTCAGGCAGGAAACCCTACACCATTTCAGACAAATGGCTGTGCAGTCTCTTCTTAAAAACTTCCAGTGTTGGAGCATTCACCGCTTCTGGAGGCAGGTTGTTCCACTGGTTAATTGTTCTCACTGTCAGGAAGTTTCTCCTTAGTTCCAGGTTGCTTCTCTCCTTGATTAGTTTACACCTGTTGCTTCTTGTCCTGCCTTCAGGCGCTTTGGAAAATAGCTTGACTCCCTCTTCTTTGTGGCAGCCCCTGAGATATTGGAAGACTGCTATCATGTCCCCCTGCATTTTTCCCACTTGATTCAAAAGTCAGACTCAAATCTCCTTGGATCATTTAATCTGAACCTCGAACTCAATCTTGTTTCTGCATTGTTTCCAATTCAGACATGCAATTTGATATATTTTTTTCCTCGTTCTGGAAATATTCCTGAGCTGGAATTTACCGGAAAGGAAAAGTGGGCAAGCGGGTCAAACAGCTGGATGTTCAGATGCAGCTCTCGGCCATTTTCTCCTTCCTGGCCCAGGCCAGTTTTGGACTCAGGGCACATCCTGGTTTGCACACCCAGTGGACTCCTGGCTCTTCCATGGGGCCGTTGCTCACGGTGGATGCCCACTCCGAGGTCATGCGGACAGATGATGCTTTGGCCAACTTCTTGTCAGTCCGGTGGCGTGAAGAGCAGAAGCAGTAGACTAGCGGGTCAAGGCAGGTGCTGAGGAGGCCAAAGAGGAAGAAGACGTGGCTGAGCGAAGGCGGCACCTGCTCCCGCGTCAGCATCTCAGGCGAGAACCAGTACCAGAGGCCCAGCAAGTAGTAGGGCGTCCAGCAGGCGACAAATGTCAGGATTGTGATGGCCGACATCTTCAAGGTGCGGACCCGGATTTGGTGGATGTTATTGTGTGAGCAGCGCAGGCGGACCTCCCTGGATTTCGCCGAGGCTGCAAGAGAAAGAAAGCGACAACAACAGAGCTGTGTTTTATGGTTAATTATGGATTCCTGAACAAACCAGGATTGGCTCCATTCGGAAAGGACCCCGACCCCCAATAAAACCAGCTGCATCAGGATGCAATGTCCTTCAAGGGTCTAATGGTGAAGATGCCAAGCTAGAAATCGAGAGAATGGGGAGTTCTAGTCCTATCTTAGGCATGAGAGCCGTCTTTCAGCCAATCACTAGGAAACAGAGAGTTCTAGTTCCACCTTAGGTATGAAAGCTGGCTGGATGACTTTGGGCCAGTCACCAGGAGACAGGGAGTTCTAGTCCTGCCTTGGGCATGAAAGCCAGCTAGGAGACTTTGGGCCATTCATTTCCTGTCAGGCCAGCCCACCTGACAGGATTGTTGTGGATAAAAAAAGAGGTAGCAGTGTGTTCCCCAGCTTCAGTTATTTATAAAAACCTTGCTGCTTACCATGCACCCCTTTCCAGGGAAGCCCCCCCACACTGGTGCATGCCACGAAGGCTCACCCCTCACTTGCGCCATCTTCCCTGAGATCTCGGCCAAGATGCGAGAGTAGCAGAGCAGCATCACCAGCAGCGGCACCAGGAAGAGGCAGGTGAAGGTGAACAGGTTGTAGAGGGTTTCCTGCCAGTGCGCCCCAAAGCTGCCCACTGTGGCACATTGGACGAAATGGATGGGCTGGGACCGGCTGACAGTGTGGAAGACAAGCATCTGGAAAAAGAAAGGCCGTTTCCCATACAAAACAGACGCACACACAAACACAACAGAGAGAGATTAAGGTCTAGATTTCAGTTCTGGTTAGGACAAGTCTTGAAGTACAGGAGCGTTTCTCAAAAGTGGCCACTTTACGACGTGTGGACTTCAACTCCCAGAATTCTCCAGCCAGCACAACTCCTTTCTGGGAGTTGAAGTCCAGACGTCTTAAAGGGGCCAAGCTTCAGAAACACTGCCTTAAAATAAGGTTGCCTAAACTGCATCTTCCTCACCAAATGCTAGAGTTCCTCTGATGGAGATTTTTAAATTTGATACATACTGGTATACATAGATGACAGATAGCGGGATAGATGGACAGACAGATATACAGAGAGACAGGAGAGAGAAATAGACCAGAGACATAGAGATGATGGAAGGATAGGTTGATAAAGGCATGGAGGGAGGGAGGGAAAGAGACAGATAGAAATTAGATGATAGATAGATGGATAGATATAGGATTGATAGATATACATATATACATACATATACATAGATGATAGATAATAGATGATAGACAATGGATGGATAGATAGATAGATGATGGATAGGTAGGTAGGTAGGTAGGTAAGTAGATAGATGTAATCTTTGATTTACAACCAATTGTTTAATGATTGTTCAAAGTTACAGTGGTACTGAAACAAACGACTTTCAACTGGTCCTCCTACTTGCAACCAACGCAGCATACTCACGGTCACATGTTTAGAATTTGGGTTGGCAACTGGCATATATTTACATGCGTTGCCTGACGTTATGTGATTGCCATTTAACGATCTTCCAAGCCGGCTTCCAGCAAGTAAAGTCAATGGGGAAAGCTGGATCCGCTTAAGAGCTGCTTGATTCACTTAACAACTGCAGTGATTCATTTATCAACCATGGCAAAAAAAAAATGCAAAATTGGCGCGACTCGCTTAGCAACAGAAATTCTGGTCATAAGTCAAGGAGTATCTGTAGATAGAGATAAGATATATACGAAAGAATAGAACAGGTGGAATGGAAGAGGTTGTTGCAAATGCCTGCCATTAGATTTGAATGTAGGTATCATCCTAGAAAGTATTTTCTTGTTTTCATGAATTTAGATGACCTCATAATCCAGAAAACATGAGGACTGGATGGGTGGAAAGTAGACCTAGAAGAACCATTTCAAAGGCTGGATGCTGGTCTTCTTGGTTTCTTAACATGGACAGGGGTTCTACCTACCTGAGGTAGTGCTAGGAGGAAGCTGAGGGCCCATGCTATGCACAGCATTGTCTTGTTCTTCCTCTTGGCTCTGCTGACCCTCAGGGGATGCAAGATGGCTGCCCAGCGGTCCAGGCTGATCACTACCGTCACGAAGGAGCAGGCGTACATGGCCACCAGCTTGAGAAACATCAAAAGCCGGCAGGCCAGGTCACCAGCGTACCACTGAATGGTCACGTTCCACACTGTGTCCAGTGGCATGACCACGAAGGTGACCAGAAGGTCAGCGGCAGCCAGATTCATGAGAAGGATGCGGAGATGTGGCTTGCGTTGAAATTTCTTGGTGACGCTCCACAACATGGCAGCGTTGATGCCAGTGGAACAAAGGAAAAGGACCACAGTGATGGCCACACGGATTTTGGCTGCCGTGGAGAACGTGGGCAGTTGGGAGCTGCCTCTGGGAACCTCACTTGGGCTGAAGGTCCCATCCATGCTGTTGGTCCCAGAGAGTGGCGTTCATTGGCTCAACCAACATCAAGCCTTCCCAAGGAAGGAAGAGCATCCTTCACCAGAGAGGTCCATCAGCTGGACCAGGGCCTCCCCTCCAGGAGGGGCCCCCTCTGGTTCTCTGGGAAGTCCTACTTTTTGAAGAACTTGGAAGAAGCAGGACAACATGGCTTCCTACTCAGACATAGCTGAGGTCATCTGATATGAGTCCTTCTTAAAGCTAGTAGTTATTTGGGGGTGAAATTGGCTTTGGTCTCCCAGCAGAAAGATGTCCTACTTAGAAGATGTCATGCTTTATTTGGGATGCTGGGTGTCCAGGGCAAAAGGAGGCACCTTAGTCCACATTGGTGGCCAGGAACAAAAAAACAGTCATGGCTGTGTCACTGTGTTGACTTCTTCCGGTGGCAGCCATCTCCAGCCTCTCGCAAAGTCCAGGGGTCCTGAGGCCACCCGACACTCCTGCAAGGGGACAGAAGCCAGCTTTCTTTCACTTGGTTGCACCAGCCCACCCACCCATATTTCCAAAAGTGTTAATGCAAAGCTATGGGTTGCATCCTGCAGGATTTTCATGGCACTGAGCATCCTTCAGTTCTGGCCATTGTGGCAGGATGTAGATCAGGGGTGTCTACCCTTGGCAACTTTAAATTCTGGGAGTTGAAGTCCACAAGATTCTGAGTTGAAGTCCACAAATCCACAACAAGTCCACAAGTCCACAAGATCTGTGGACTTCAACTCCCAGAATTCCCCAGCCAACTATGCTGGGAGTTCAAGTCCACAAGCCTTAAAGTGGCCAAGGTTGGACACCCCTGATGTAGGTGGGTGAGCTTCCATGAAACATGGTTAATCACTTGCTTGGAAGAGGACAAGAGAGTCTGCAGTTTTCCATAATAACATTTGAAAAGAAGGAAGAACTGCTTGAAGAACGTAGAATAAAGTGGGCGAAGAATTTTGGTTATAATATGTAGATGGATCGGTGGGAAATTTCAAAGGGCTGAAATTTACTTTACTTTGTGACCTTAACAAGACGTTTTATCAAACGATGCGTCATTGGCATAGGAGCCCAGAGAAATTATCTACAATTTATCAAGGCCCTTCAAATGCAAGTAATCCTTGACTTATGACCATCAAGGTCTTAATTCGTGACAGTTGGAAAATGAGTTGGTCACGTGACTGACCCAATTTTACTATCTTTTTCGTGGTGGTCTAGTCATAAGACGAGGAAGTGAGACTGGTTGTCAGACGAGTACGAGGAGTCCTGCACTGGGCAAGGGGCTGGATTAGAAGACCTCCAGGGTCTCTTCCAGCCCTACGTTTTTATGACTCAGTGATTACAGGCAGTCCTCGTCTTGCAACAGTTTGTTTAGTGACCGTTCAAAGTTACAACGGCACTGAAAAAAGTGACTTATGACTGTTTTTCACACTTACAACCGTTGCAGCCTCCCCCTGGTCACATGATCAAAATTCGGTTGTTTGGCAACTGGTTCATACTTACGACCGTTGCAGTCTCTCTCAGGGTCACGTGATCCCTTTTTGCAACCTTCTGACAAGCAAAGTCAGTGGGGAAGCCAGATTCACTTAATGACCGTATGACTAACCTATCAACTGCTGTGATTCACTTAACAACTGTAACAAGAAAGGTTACAAAATGGGGCAAAACTCACTTAACAAATGTCTCACTTAACAAGATAAATTTTGGGCTCAACTGTGGTTGTAAGTTGGAAATGAGAACCACAGGAAGGGAAATTTTATCATGTTTCCTGGACATGTAAAAAAGCTTTTAAAAAAGGGATTCACGTCCATACGTGGTGAATTTTAAAGAGTAATATTCAACTGAAGCCAGAAATTTCCCTTTTAGGGCTGGTGGATCAGGGTAAGATAAGTGTCATGAAAAGTTATTTCAATACAGGCAGTCCTCGTCTTACAACAGTTCATTTAGTGACTGTTTGAAGTTACAACAGCACTGAAAAAAGTGACTTATGACCGTTTTCCACACTTATGACCGTTGCAGCATCCCCATGGTCATGTGATCAAAATTCAGACACTTGGCAACTGGCATGTACCTATGATGGTCGCAGTGTCCGGGGGGTGTCACGTGATCCCCTTTTGTGACCTTCTGACAAGCAAAGTCAATGGGGGAAGCCCGATTCCCTTAACGACCATGTTACTAAAGAGCTGCAATGATTCACTTAACAACTGTGGCAAGCAAGGTCATAAAATGGGGCAAAATTCACTTAACAACTGTCTTGCTCAGCAACAGAGAGTTTGGGCTCAGCTGAGGCCATGAGGTCATGATTCCTGAGGTTCTTAACAGGCACAGAAATGGGAAGATTTGACGTGACCCTCAGTGGAGGGGTGGCTGGTGAAGTTGACAGATTTTGCTGAAATTAACTACTCTGATGAAAGAAAAGGCATTATCTGCATTTGCTGCCAACTGGAAGCCTCTTGTGGAGATTTTGCATAAGAAGGAAAAATGATTTTGTGACTCATGGTTTTGATGGTTAGAGAAAGAAGGGAATTATGTTGAAACCTTGAAGACAGAGATTTGTTTAAAATTGTGCATCTAACTGCCAAGAGAAAGATCAGAAGGCATTTCTTTATATGCATTTCTGTTTGTTCCTTTATTTCCTTTTTCCTATCTTCTTTTTTGTTTTTTTTCTTTCACATTTCTATATTCTTTCTTTCTTTGAATGTATTTCTTATTAGCTATCTAAAATACTTTAATAAAAATATTTTTTTTAAAGTGCCAGAGTTTTTTGGGGTGGGGAGGACAGAGAAACAAGGAAGAGGAAAAAACCCCCAGGAAATGGAGGAATATGCATGTCAAGGCAGTAACAGATAATAGTGTAATAGGTTTAAACGGGACCTTGGCGGTCTTCTAGCCCAACCCTCTGCTCAAGCAGGAGACCCTAGACCATTTCAGACAAGTGGCTCTCCAGTCTTTTCTTAAAAGCCTCCAGTGATGAAGTGCCCACAACTTCTAGAAGCAAGCAGTTCTATTTCTATTCTGTTGCCCAGGCCTCTTGAAATATTGACAGCAGTACAACTTACAACCATTCATTTAATCATCGTTCAGGGTTACAATGGCACTGAAAAAAGTGACTTATGAGCATTTTACAGGTTCATATTTTGCACACTTGGCAACCGGCATCATACCAGTAACCGGTATGGTGGCTGCAGTATCCCGGGGTCACGTGATCCTCTTCTGATGGGGAAGCCAGATTCACTTAAGAACCATGGAAATCATTTAACAACTGCAGAGGCTCAGTTAACAAGTGTGGCAGGGAAGGTTGTAAAATGGGGCAAAGCTCCTTTAACAAATGTCTCATTTAGCACGGGCAATTTTGGGCTCAATTGTGGTCGTATGTCGAGAACTACTTGTGTGGGGTCTCCTGCTTGAGTCCAGAGGGTTGGACTAGAAGACCTCCAAGGTCCCTTCCAACTCTGTTATTAAAGAAAGGGCCGTGGGGCCCAGCAAATGGGAGAGGAAAGACAGTCCCAAACTTTTTCATCCTTCCGAGGGCTGCCAAAGGCAGGACCCTTCCAGCCCCTTCCTCTTCTCACGTTCAGACCAAACCCCTCCTCCCTGCCTGACCCATCAACTCTGGGAACAGCCTGGAAAGAGTGCAGAGAAGAGCAACAAAGATGATTACGGGGCTGGAGAAAAAAAAAACATTATGAAGAACGGTTGCTGGAAGTGGGTATATCTAGTCTGGGGAAAAGAAGGGCCAGGGGTGACATGATAGCAGTCTTCCTATATCTGAGGGGCTGCCCCAAAGAAAGGGGGGTCCACCTATTCTCCAAAGCACCAGGAGGCAGGACACGAAGCAACGGATGGAAACTGATGAAGGAGAGAAGCAACCTGGAATTAAGGAGAAACTTCCTGACAGCACAATTAATCAGTGGAAGGGCTTGCCTGCAGACATTGTGGATGCTTCATCACTGGAGGCTGTTAAGAAGAGACTGGACAGGCACTTGTCTGAAATAGTCTAGGGTTTCCTGCTCAAGCATGAGGTTGGACTAGATAGCCTCCAAGCTCCCTTCCAACTGTTATTCTGTTGTTCTGTCCTCTTAAATGAAAGGCAACAGCCCAGTAAATAAAACGATTATCAGAAGCCAAACATTTGCTTGATATCCAAATGGGACACTTAGCCAGTACTTACCGTCTCCCCAGGCTGGTTCTGCCGTCCTTCGGCTGCTCCAGCAGATGCGGGGAAAAAGGGGGAAACAAGAAAGTGCGTGTATTTCTGTGTCTACAGGCACTCACAGCCCTGGCCCCCCCTTTGTGGTTGTGTGTTTGTGAAGGTCACTGCAGGCACTCTGCGCACTGCTTGTCCTCTTTCTCTTCCAGCTTCCAATAATTCTATTTAAAGGTGCCTCTCTTCCTTTTCATTCTCACCTCCTCTTCCAATCGCACAGACGGCCACGAAGTCACAGAGACCTTGTTTCCACTGCCAGGGACCAGATGCTTGGGTACCAGATGCTGTTCTGGCAGGACGGCGACCCCTCAGCCGAGAGCCTCCCCCAGCCATCTGCTTAGCTTCACGGGAGGAGGACGAAGGGCTCAGAATTCGAAAGTCACTGCTCTGAAACGCTTTTCGGTAATTTTTGAGCCGAAAAGCGGCAGGGAAGCATGGATTTGGTAGGGTGAGCCTTAACAGAAGCATTTTGAGATGAGCCGGGAGCATCGTTTTGTCACACGTCTCAAATGAGGTCAGATGACGTGGTAATCGTCTCAGGAGACCGGAGGAAGAAAGACAACTGGGATGTAAAAGAAAGAAAAGGGCCGTGGGAAGCAACTGAAAGAAATAATTTCAGTCTTGCAAGGTTCTGTTAATCTAATCCAGTGCTTTTTTTCTAAAAATAAAAAATAAAAAAGGTGCCGAAACTCACACACGTCATACAACCCGCCTTGCCTACCCTACAAGGTTCCATCCAAAAAAGGTGCTGGAAACTCCGTTCTGTGCGTTCTATGAGAAAAAAAGCCT